CCAGCCCTGCCACGCATCCCCACCGCTCCCCCGGCCCGCGCCGGCCCCGCTTGGCAGAGCAGCCCATCACGGCTGGGCAGTGCACAGGAGAGGACGGTGCCTGAGTCAGCAGGACCGTCTCATGGCCATGGCCTGCCTGTCCTTGGCCTGCTGGCTGCTTCTTCATCACCCTCTCAGTTACCAGACTGGAAGGAGAGGAGCTGGCTGGTCCCTGGGAGAAGGAGCATCCTTCTGGTCCCTGCCAGCCCAATGGGAAGGGAACTGTGAGGGAAGTCTCAGCCCAGCTCTTACTGGGAGAGTAGGAGCACAGGTGGGAAGGTGGCAGTTCCCCTCTCAGCCTGGGCTGGCTGTGCCCTCGCCAGCCCCACACTTGCCTGTGCTGGCTGGGGGTTTCTGTGCCACCCACCAGCCCCTCAGTTCCCACATCTCCCTACATCCCACCAGCCAAAGAGCCCCAGCGGCAGCAGGCACCAGCCACACTGACCGTATCCTCACTCCAAGAGCAATAGCTGACCCCAGGGCCAGTGCCTCCCCCCTCCAAAGCACACGGGCCCTGCCCTGGCCCCAGAAGCACACAACGGGCATATGGCTGAGCCAGGCCCCCTCCCGCCCAGCGAGGCCGGGAGCGCCAGGCTGCCCGGTGCTGGGTCCCCGAGGAGGTGACCCTGTGCTTGGCACCTCTCCTTGCCTCTGTCCCACCATGGGGACAGCCCTGCCCCTACCTCCCGGGAGATGCTGTGAGGCTGAGTGAATGTCCCTAAAGCACTTTCGGTTCTCCAGTGAAAGGCAACGCTGCTGCTCGCCCGCCGTGCCCGGCCCTCCAACCCCATCCCCGTTAGGAGCTTCCAGGGAGTTACTGAATGATTCCCAAAAACAGAGGTGTCCCTAGCAGCCCGGACAATCAGGTACGAAGGAGCAGGTGGCACCTGTAGCCTGCAGAATGCTGGGCTCCAGAGGGACCCCAAGGCCGTAGCTCTGCATTTCACTGTGCTCAGACAGCCCAGCCATGACCTGGTCTGGGACTGTGCCTGCGGCACTCCGGGTGCCCGGCGCGCTGCTGTACACGGAGACACGCAGGAGAGCTGCATCCCGAACGGACCTTTCACTGGAGGAACACCCCACCCCGATCTATGCAATCCAGGGGGGCAGCTCGCCCGCCGCGTTAGCCACCTGCGTTTCCCTTTGGTGCTGATGTGTCCGTACGGTCGGGAGCAGCAGTGGGAGCAGAAGAACCAACGTAACACTGAGCTCTGTCCCGTCCTCAGCCCAAGATGCTGGCTCAGACCTCTGCCGTGGCCCACGTTCCCTCCCAGCCCTCGGGAAGAGGCAGGTTGGTGTGTGCACCTGGGAATCCACACGCACAAGCACACATATCCGACGTCTTGGCCATAAGCAGCACCTGGATTTAAGGAGGATTTTGCCCAGCATGCTCTGCTGATGCTCAGGATGGGTCCTGGCATGGGGAGCTGAACAGGAACCGGCCAATGAGCCACTCTGGTGGCTGAAACTTTTCTGCTTCCCAGGGCTGGAGCCTCAGCAAGGGCAAGGAAAGCTGCCCGGAGGGAGCAGGGCACAGGGAGCCACACACCCGCAGGGCCTGTGGGTAGCACTGACCGTGGAGCCACCGCTGTGCTCCTGCCCCAGAGACAGGAGAGTGATGGAGCCCCTGGGAATGGATTCACCTGCCCAGGGCATCTCTGCCTCAGGGAAGGAGAAGAGTGGAGACAGGACACTGGGAGAAGAGTGAGTAGCCGTGAGTAGAGACAATGGAAAGGTCTTGGAGTGGTGATGGGAGACGTGGCTTGGAGTGCAGCTGAGGGAAGGCAGGCTCTGCCAGGGACAGGGAGATGGTCCCACAGCCCAGGGCACACGTGGGGATCCTGAGTCCCAGGGGACAGGAGCCTGCACTGGTGGGGCCCCCAGCGGCAGGAGGGACGTGACCCCAGTCCCCTGTGCCACAGTGCCAACCAGCCCATGGCCAGCACGGCTCCAACCACCCCCGCCCAGCTCACTGTGCCCTTCCCAGGCCCTCAGGGTCACCCCCAGCCCGGCGGTGGCAGAAGAACAGGTCCTGTCCTGCTCCGTGTCCCTCCTGTGCCATGCCCAGCGCCTCAGGAGCACGGGGAGCCAGGAGCAGCCAGGCTCCGGCCTCCAGAGCCGCGTGGCACCGCTGGGCCTGTTCCCCTCCAGTTTGTTCCAAAAAGCCTGTGCTGGAGCTGCGGCTGCTCCGTCACCCCTCACCAGTGGAGTCCTGAGACACTCCTGTACTTGGCACTTTAACCCTGAGAAAGCCATTCCTTCTAGTAACAATAATACTGCAACGAGCTGCGTAAGAACCCCCCATTACAGCATCCCCCCTGCCAAATCCCCCTCCTGCTCTCCAAAGCATTTACTGCCTTTGACTTAGCACATGCTGTACTAGGAGTAGGGATAGTCCATAGCGCTCGGTAACATGTGCCCCTCTGTAAATAACCTTGGAGTGATGTGAAGTTTGATTTAAAAAAAAAACCAACAAAAAAAAAAAAACCAACCCCAAATGGAATCTCCAGACTCTAGGGACTTGGCCAGTACCCTCCTGTAATGTTCATTGTATATTTTTTTGATGTACTATAACTGTTGGGAAAAAAAAAAAAAAAGGAAAATATTTTGATAATCGAATCTCATCGCTTTATTGTGTTACTCAGTAAATAAAAGGAACAAATATAAACAGGCCAGGTCTTTTTGTCATCTCTTTTCCTACATCCAGACTACCTGAAGGGAACTGGTGTTGCTAGACAGGACTGGGACACCTGTGCCTTGGTTTTATGGTAGTTCTGAGAGAAGGCAGCACCGTGACAGGTGGGCAGGGAGAGCTGCTGCAGCCTGAAGCATCCGGGTGTGCAGGGTAAGCATAGTCCCAGCTCCTCCAGGGATCCAGGTGTGCAGGGTAAGCACAGTCCCAGTTGCTCCGAGGTCATGGCTGAGTCTGCACCCAGAAGAGCGGGGCTGGATTGGTGGATTTGGGCATCCTGCACTCAGGAACAGCACCTGCCCTACTCTAGGCATTCCCTGGGGCAGGATGCATAAACAGCACCTGCCCTACCCTAGGCATTCCTGTGCATAAAGGAGCAGTGGGCACTGCTAGCTAAGGAGCTGCAGCACAGAGCCAGCTGGGGTAGGGCTGGGAGAGCTGCTCGTCTGGAGGCAGGGCCAGCAAAGGGGCTCTTCCCACATGGTATCAGGAAATAGAAAAGAGAGAGAGTGTTCTTCCCTCTAGCCCAGCTGCAGAGCTGGCCAGCCTGTGCCTCTGCTGCCCCCTCCCAGCCTGCACCCGAGAGCAGAGGGGTCACTGGGTGAATCCCGGCCTTCCTGCAGCACCTTGACAGTGCAGAGGCCAGGCAGGGAGAAGGGTGGTCCCTGGCCCACTGCCTCTCTCATCCTCAAGGACCATTCCCAGCCCTGGGACAACTGTTCTTCCTGCCACCTGCTTCCCGCAGGCTCCGTGACACCAGACAGGCTCAGCAGGAGGGGTGTGTGCGAGGGAAGCAGGGAGGTGAGGAAGAGGAGGTGGCAATGGAAGGGAAGGGGAAGAAGGCTCAGCCATCCATGGATCCGCTGCCCTTGTTCTTGCGGCTCAGGGGGAACGCAGACTTGCTCTGGGGCTGCGTCATCTTGCTGGCCAGGTAGATGAAGGGCTCGATCAGCGAGCGCCGGTCGGCCACCGAAACCTCCCACAGCTTCACCTTCTCGCCCTTGGCCCAGTGCTGGGCTGCCTCATGGTCCACCCGGCGCTGCTCCTGCAGGTCACACTTGTTGCCCAAAACCACGATGGTGACCTGTTCCAAAAGGGTGAGAAGGGCCCCTGAAGGTAACAGTGGCAGCACTGCAGGGCTGCCTGGCTCTGCCCAGACACCCTTGGGGCTGGACCCAGCTCTGCCACTGATCCCCCCTCCATGTCGAGACCTTTTGAAACCCCACGGTCCCAGTGCTCCCTTGCCCCCCTCTTGTGGTCTGTGTGTCTCAAAGCAGCTCCCAAGTGGAACGGGCTGTCGAGCACCCGTAGCCTCAGAGAGCATCCCAGGACAGAGCCCATGACAGCTGAGTCTCACAGACCAGGGACCCATAACCGTCTTGAGACAAGCTGGAGCAAAGGTGAGAACCTGCCAAGGGGAGCAGACCTCACTCTGCAGCCCCTGCCCCCGGGGGACTCACCTCCTTCTTGTCCTTGGACTTGTCGATCTCCTTCTTGAGCAGCTCCACGCGCTTGAAGGACTCCTTGCTGTCGGTGCTGTAGACCAGCACGTAGCCGTCGGTGCAGGAGAAGCAGTGCTTGGGCAGCTCCAGCCCGTCCCGCAGCCCCCGCGTGTCGTAGAAGCGAACCTGCTCCCGCACCCCGCGGTCCGTCTCGATGGAGCCCACGTAAATGTCCTCCTGGGTCTCGATCATCTCCGAGCCTGGCGGGGGTGGGCAGGGGACACGTGGGGACCCTGCCGGGGGTCTGGCCCCGGCACAGCCCGGGGAGATGCCCCGCCGGGCGGGTTGTGCCCTCCCGTGTTTAGAGGTGAGCAGGGACAGCCCTGCCCAGTGCCGGCCCCGCCCGCGGCACACGGGGCCGCCGCCTCGCCGGGGAGCAGAGGGGCAGCCCCGCACTCACCGACCACATGG